CGCTTAGCTCACCTTGTGGTCTGCATCTTCCCAAGCTGTCTGGGTGCCAGAGACTGGCAGTGGCCCGGGGGCCCTCCTGGTTTCTCCATTTAATGTGAAGTGGAGATGCTATGCACAGGCTGGAGGTGTGGAGGAGTCAAAGTTTTGCCTCTTCTGAGTGGTTTCTCCTATAATGTATATCTCCAGCATCTCTCCAATATTTTACTTTAGGAGGCACACTTTCTGCTTCCTCCCTCTAGCTGCCATCTTGGAATCCTCAATATGCCTTCTTTTACCTAATAAAAATTAAATTGTTTCATTTCTCCCATATATTAGTTAGTGATATTTCAAAGAAAAAAATTAATTTTATCTTTTTGATCTTGCCATATAACTTCTTGTTTTACCCTTGTTCAGGTATGCTTCCAGAGACAACACTCTTTTTAAGTCACACATTTCATAAGTTACTTTTCCATAGTTTGCTAATTTGAGGTGAATAAGTTTTATGTCAGCTGTAGTTGTCTTTGAGATTTGCTATATCAGAGAGTATGTTTATTTTAGAAACCATTTTTAGGAAAAAATTTACTGTATCAATATAAAAATATATGAATATATTATTTTTTACTTGAATGGAAAAATTTGGTGATAGATATATAACAAATAATAAATTTTAGCTGTTTCTAAAATGAATGCATAGTATTGTTGATAAATGATAAATGAGAGAGAAGGGGGAGAAGTATAAGTACCTGAAGCTAATATACAGATAAGAATTGGATATGTACCTTTGTGGAATTCTTCTCTCAAGACTTCTGAATCTTCTGGGAATTCTAAAACAGAGCAGATGTCTCTTATGATACATTTTCCCTAGGTGGAAAAATATATCCCGTGTTCTATGAGTCAGATTAATGTGCAAAAAATATGAAGCCTCAATGCTGGCCTCATTTCCAGTATAGAAGGAGCTTGGTCTAGGTTCAAACATGAGTTAACTATTTTACCTCTGAGCCTAAAGCCTTGCATGCCAAACAGAGTTTGAACATTTGTGAAATGGAACAATAAGAATTGAGGACATAAATTTTAAATTATCAAGATAGGCTATAATAGATGGAAGAAAATGTAACCTAATTCGACTTATTCTTTAAGAACACTGAGTCCATTAGTAATAATAATTTCAATTAATAAAAAATTATTTCTGAGGTCACCATCTTTTTAATTCTGCTTTTACTAAGCCACACTTGAACACTGGTTTTTAGAAGAATCCCTCATCTATGCTATGCTTTCATGGATTTTGTTCCTTTTATTCATTTACTCAAACAGTTCCCCTGGTTTAGCTTGTCAGGAAGGAAGGGTGAAGTGCATAACACTCCATAGAATTTATTTTCTTCTGCTGCTCTGTGTAACCTTGTCTTCTTTGGTTTGTCATCACTCACTCTGCACCCACATCTGCCCTATGTAAAATGTAAGATCCATAAGAGCAGGACATATGTGTGTGTTCCATTGATTGCTAAACTTCAGTGCATACAACAGTGCATGGCACACAGTGAAAACAAAAAAGAAAAGAAAAGAAAAAAAACCTGTATTAATTCCAGGCATCTATCTGAAGGAATGTGAGCCAGAATACAACAGCCACCTCACACCATTCTTATCACAGCACTATTCACAATAGCCAACTTTGGAAATAGTCCAGATGTCCCAAAACTGAAGAATGGTTTAAGAAAATGTGGAATATATACACAACAGAGTATAAATAGATGGAAATGGAGAACATCATGTTAAGCAAAGTAAGTCAGGTTCTGAAAGACAAAGGTCACATGTGATAATATTGAAACACATAACATCTGTGTTTGAAGAAAATACAATTACTGTGCTGTAAACTTTGAATAGTAGGGGATCAGGGTGATAGAGAAAGAGTGATAAAGAGGGTAAATCTGATTAAAGTACAATACACACATGCCTGAAATGCCAGAATGAAATCCCCGTGAATTAGCAGTTTTCACTTCAAAAAAATGAAGGATAGAAAGGTGAAACAGGTACTGTTTGGGGGTGGGTATCAGTCAGAGAGGGAGAATGAATACGATAGAAGTTTCTGTGTTCATGTATGAAAATAGAACACTGAAGCCTGTCAGAATTGTTCTAAAAAGGGAGGAAGTGGGTGGAGAGATTAGAGGGAAACTGAATCTAATTAAAATATAAGTGCATATGTAATTATCATAATGGAGCTCCCCTGTACAACTATAATATGCTAATAAAAATATTTCTGTGTTAATGTGCCCATTGTCCTCATATTCTAGAACAGCTTCCTGGACATCACTAACTATGATTTACTTATTAAAGAGCATGACTAAAATTAAATAGACCTGTTGAAAATTATATCATAAAAAGTTATGACCGTATCTGAGGTTGTAAATTATAGAATGACTTATTAGCAAATGGATATTTTATGGTTATTAAATGATACCAGCATATATAAACTTAATTGAGAAGCAGGAGTGAGTTTAGATACAGCTCTTCTTTCATCATTATATTTTTCTTCTTATTTTCAACCCCATCTGTTAACATAAGTGTCTTAGTCCATTTTGTGTTGCTGCAAGAAAGTAAATGAGACTGGGAAATGTTTATTTTTTTAAAGTTTGCCTTGTTTGTTATTCTGGTGGCTGAAAAGTAAAGCCACCAAGAGGTCTGGCTGCATTACAACTAGGTGTTGGAGAAGCAAAAACTGAACCTGCCACCTGCAGAAGAGGCATATGACTTCATGCCATTTTTAAAGACCTGTTTCACAGTATGATTGTATTTAGTATTTGACTCATAAAGAGTTGAACAAGTTAAATAACAAAGATTTTTGTGTGTGTGCTGGATATCTTACTATTATATACTTTAGGAAAGCACTTCACTATTTACATATAACCCAGCCCTTGCATGTAGTTTTAAGGTGATAAGAAGGATTCTAAGGAAACGTTAACTATTGAAAGGAAAGAGGGCTACTGTAATGTGTGATTCTTGAGTAGCATGAAAGAATGGGTCTAAATGAAAGTGAAATTGACCTTGTCAAATAATAAGAAGAACACAGCTTTCCAAGAGGACAAAAGTAAGACTGGAGGCACACAGTCAAGTAGCTCAGAAATGTCAGCCTGATAACCTGGTGACTCTTATTTGTCTGTAATGTAGGTCATCTTTTGAGAATGACAGAGGATGTGGGACAGTCAGATATTTGATAAGAATGGGGAGTGTATAATAAAATTCACTTCCGAAAATAGAATGATGACCACAGAAATGTAACAGGACACCTCTCTGTATCAAAACCATTTCACATTAGTGTTCTACAAGCACTTGGCTTCTCATTCATTGGAGAGAGAAACCTAGGACTTTTATTTTTCCTTCCTTTCTCTCCTCTCTCTCCCTCTCCCTCCCTCTCTCCCTCTCTCTCCTTTTCTTTTCTTGCCTTGCCTTTTCTTTTTTTTCTGTTCTCTTTTCCTTTCCTTTTCTTTTCTTCTTACTATGCATCCCAGGCTGGCCTAGAACTCACCATCCTTTTGACTCACCCTCTTGAGTTCTTAGATTGCAAATGCATACCACCATTTCCAACTAAGAAACATAATTTCCTGTGGGATTAGAATTTTGTTGAACAAGTAGGGACAAAAGAAGTTTGGGGGAGTTTAGAGTATTGCCAGAAGTGCTTTACAATGGTATTATACAATCAACCTGTACTTGGAGAAAGGTGAATAAAGACACAGTCAGACAGAATGGAACAGTACATTTGGAGACAGATAGAAAAGCAAATGAAACTACAGATTTTTATATTAGAAAGGAGGTGATGAGTAGAGGGTGAGACATTCTAACACGACATTTTTGAGGTTTTGACACTTAAAAGATTATGATCAAGAACAACATATTATTATATCAAATTGTGTTACACTGTATTGTGCTATTATGTCAAGCCTATAAATGCCATACATACTTTAGCAAGACATTTTTAAGATGACAGGTTTAAAGGTTAGGACAAATGACTCTCAGGGGAGTGGTTGGCTGAGGTAGGGAGGAGGAAAAAGTGTTTGAGGAGGCAGAGACCTAGTGCCAGGATAGAGGAGGATTGTGCACCTGGCTCTGATGGATGAGAAGGTCAGGGGACAACAGCATTGATGAATAAGAGAATTTTGAGGAGGGGCACAGGCAACATGTGAACAGGAAAGCAACTCAAATGGGACGCATAATTAAGTGAGAAAGTTTGGGGATAATGCGAGAGCTATAGTGCTGAATCTTCAGATACAGGTAGAGAGCCAAGTGTGGAAATTTATAGTAAGGCAAGTTCTTTTATTCTCCACAGCTTGAATGCATTAAATGACAACTAGGGAAGGAAATCATTTATGTAAAACTATGGGATGTTTTCATTCTAGAAACAGTAATGTGAGGTAGGAATTCAGACATATTTTTAATTTTTATAATTTAAATTCTTTATTTAAATTATTCTTTATCAAATTCTTTAGTTTTCAGTTACACAATTATTTTAACACACTAGAATATTGTCTACTGCATCATGTTTTAATAAGAAAATACAAACTCTGTGCAATAGGCTATGATATCTGCTTCCTTCCACTAGAATTATTAATCCTAATTTAACAGAAAAGCTACAAATATCATTTCTATTCTGATCTACACAATATTATAGGTATTCCATGGGAATCTTGTTCAATATGACCTCTAATTCGCTATGCAATTTGGCTTAACTTTTTTTCTCTTTGAAGTCTCAGTTCCGATAAAGTTATTCTTATTCAGTGGCCTCTTTTTAATATATCTCACTCATTTTGAAAGGAAAGATCTATGATTTATCAAATATATTTCAAAGTAGTAAACTTGGAGGCTCCCTTTCTCTTTCTTTTTTTGTGGGGGAAGTGCACTACAAGTTAACAGCTATAAGAGAACTTCCTTTGTTGTTTTGCACAGAGTGATTTGCAACTATCTTACATCACTTTTAGTTTTCCATAATGTAAAATCTTGCCCGAATATTTTTACTCCAGATTATCACTTGCACAATTTTTAGTACAGTGAAACTATTTTAAATTGTTTCATGCTCAAGTTTCTATTATAAAGCATTCAAATTGATTCTACTGGTGGGTGAGTATAATTGATTTTACTTACTTGCTTCTTTCACAATACAAATATATGTCATTCTTCAATAATAATTCAGGGTTGAATACAGAATGGTTTAAATGACAAGTTGGGGAGAAAACAGATTCCTTAAAAATATGATATGTTTTTGTTTTACAAACAATAGTTTAAGGTATGAGTCTAACTATTTTTGGGGAAGGTATTAGACTTTTCTTTTTGCTTAATTTAGCCAACAGTCTCATAGTCTCTTTTCTCAATTTAAATTATGGTATAAGTCATCATTTTCTCATTATTTTGAAGTGATTGGTAAACAGGCACATATGCTGTTCTATATGAACTGAGAGTTTTCTTTCCAGAAAAGTGAGTAATGTAGTTTACATATTATCCAGATCAATGTGAATGATGCCTGCTTTCATTCTTATACACTGTCAGACATGGGCAATTATATCTGGTTTGTAAATGCTTGCTAGTTTTACAAGTGGGTATAACATAACACTAATATTTGTGTATGTCTTTAGTTAGTAGTGAAATAAGTGTTTTCATATGGTTATTTGTGGTAAAATTCTCTCCATTATCAAAATAGTGTATTTATAATTCACCAATCATTTTCCCTCATGTCTGTGTGAGTAAATTAATCATTATTTACCCATCTCACTCTTTTATTGATCCTTGGATTACATTTCAGTTTTGGCTTATCTTAACTTTAATTTCATGATTTGAAACTGTAATGTAAGTCTATACAATGTTCCAGTTTTGAACCAGTTGTCTGTCTGACTCCACACCACGCTTATTTTGTTCTCTATTATCAAAATTGTTGATTTTTTTCCCTTTTCCCCATATAAAACTTACCTTATCCCTTTATTTGAATAGCAGCTTTATTCCAGTCCCACCAAGCCATTACAATTACTGCCATGTCTGTTATGCATATATGAACTCAACAAAAGTGATTTGACACAATGTAAAAAAATCTTCATTTTTATATCTTACTTATGTTTTTTATTTTAGAAAATATATTCCTTGGAAATAATCATGGATAGAAAAAAGGTTACACATGAAGATGTTTGTTTTCTGTATTTTAAAATATTCAATGCATCATCATTATGCAGCTTTTAAAATGCTTTAATTTTCAATAAAATGGAAAGAAATATAAACCTTTCAAATATTATCTGTACACAACCATGCAAAAACAGCATATTGCAACTGTTCTGTTTTGCATCTACAGGATATTTTCTATTGCAAAGAATTGATGTGCTAGCATATAAGATGTGCCATATTTATTCCTTATCTCCCTCAGTCATGAATATTTTTGTTTATTTGCTTTGCTTTTCTACTGTATTTATTAGAAAAAATAGTGACAAAGAATATGTGTTGCATAACTGGATGCATGTTTAACATTTATGTTGGATGAATTATTTAAAATGGAAAGCAAAAGTTGACAGTTTTAATAAATGCAGCTGAATAATTTTATATTCACTACCACTTATTTTTTTTCAACAAAATAATTGATTAAAGTATTTAGTGTTCTAGTAGGTGGATATTTTCCTATTATTTTAATTTGTATGGATATATTTCTAAGTCAATATTTTATATTTGTATTAGATAGTGTCAGTGCATGCTTACCTCCCTGGTTTGATTTTAGTGGTCCATTGGCACAGTCATTAATTTAGATAGTCTATATGCATGTGCCTGTGTGTATGCATGTGAAACAAATATGATTTGATTAGATGGAAAAAATTATTTTATGCAAAGATATAGAGAGGCAATAAACTTTTAGTAAAGTGGTTTTAAACAAAGTGATTTGCTTAATTTAAATTTTTAAGTTTTCATTAATGTACTTATAATTTAACCATTGCCTGTATGCTATCGACTTTATTCCTTCTACATAGAATATTGAGAAGGAAAAAAATTATAAACGACTTCATCCACACCTTTTAAATTTGATTCAAAGAGGAAAAAGGTTGATTGAATTATTCTTCTAATTAAGAAAGACTTCGAAGTTCAGAGAGATTTAGACTTGCATTTCCACTTATTTTACCCTTTTAATATCATATCTACATGCACACATGCAACAACTTCTGCATTATTCATTGGTCATGATGCACTGAGCACTTTTTCTCTTCTTCACATTTGTTGCAGAGATATTAAAGAACAAAAGAGACCAGTTATCAAAATTAAGTTGAAAGTATCCAAGTCTTTTTGGAACAAAAATGCCTAAGAATAAACAAGAAGAATTTATAGTAAACAAAGAAGTGGTTACTTACACAGAAGTGAAATTCTCCAACTCTCAACAGAAGCAAAGAATATCCAAGACAGTCCCTAGTCCTGTAATAACAACTGAACAGCAGATAAACTATGTGGAACTGAAATTCAGTAGAACATCTCACCACAAACTCAGAAAATGCCTTTCTAGAGAAAACAGAAAAGGTATAGCACTGCATATATTTTGTTAAAAGATACATGTTAACTGGTTTTAGATTACTGAACTCAAAACCATTACAAAATTGGCATGATACACTAGTCCTTTTAGCACCTTCCTTATCCATTTCAGGATATTTCTTGAGAATAGAAAAATCTCTAAATAATCTATGTTTATTTTCTAAAATATTGGCACAATTTCTAAAAGAATTGCATTAATTGTAAGAAAACAAGAACTATTTATGCATGCAATGAAGATTTTGAAATTCTGTTTCATTCCATGTTATTTTAACCATTTTAAACATCCTCATATGCCCTGGGGAAAATGAATGACGTTTATTTTTTATCTCAAAAAAACAAAGAATGAATTGAATTTCCTGCCTTGATAGAAGGGTTAAGAGAATGGCAAAATTCACAAATCAACATTTTATTTTCAAGGGATGTCTTGTTTGCACGATTTTTTTTTCTCTAAGCATACCTAGGTCTTCAATTTACTAGCAGAGACAGTATATTTCAGATTGTTCAGAGTTAATAATTTAGAGAACACTTGGTAAAGGATGCATGAAGATGCTAGTGAAGGTGGTTCAGAGGACCAAAGTTGCATTTCACCATGGACAAGGGAAAAGTGAGGTCAAGAAGAAGCTAAAGCCAGGGAAGAAATTTGAAGGTCAAAGACTTGGTATTCTTAATGCAGATGGTTGATTTTATGATGAACCTGCTGAAAGATGAAAAAGTAGAAGCATATCCTAAAGAGTGAGGCATAATGGTCTTCAGTTTTATTATTGTTGAGTTCTAGGAAATGGGAGACTCATCATTGTTCACCTTTCTCTTGTTTTTAGAAACCCATTCTACAGCATGGGGAGAGATAACTGGTATCCTAGTTGTCTTGTGTGTGGTATTGATGACAACAGTCAGTCTCTTGCTTGCAAATTGTAAGTAATTAAGAAAATAATTTGCTCTTATTACAGAGAATAATGAGCAATGTGGTGATGACTCCACTCACTATGAAGATTGAATTTCACTTTGTCTTACCAACTATATCTCATATAGTATTAATTACTGCCATAAATTTTGTCACAGTATTTTCTAGACAAGAAGAGCAAAGCAGAAACAACTCATTTCTTCCTTCCGTATCTCCTAAAAATGATGGTGAGTATTAATTCTATACAGTTCACTTCCTTTGAATATTGGGGTAAAAGAATTTCCTTAAATCCACAAGTTTCAATGACTATTGATAGACAGATATAGACAGATGCAGTGAAATCATTTGTTCAATCTCTTAACAGAGAAGGACTCACAGGGGTTAAAAATAATTAAGATGCAGGAGATTGTGAACAATCCTAAAATGTTGTAAATATATTGTGTTATTATTTTTACTGTATTATTATTAGGAAAAATAACATCTAAATATATTGTACTTCAAGTAGAAATTATTCAAAAGGAAATGAACACTAAATCATTGTGTTTTACCACTATAGAAGAAAAACTAACAACCAAGTATGGTCAGGATATGGAAAAGGAGACTGGTTCACATATCCATCATCTACCACTAAACTTTTATAAAAGAGAAAGAAAACTATGTACATAAATGACTTTTATACAAATGATCTTGGATATTTTATTTATGATAGCATAATTGTAAACATTCAGAATTTCCATTATCAGATGTACAATTAACAAGTTATTGTTTTATCATATCATGGAATACTACTCAGCCAATAAAAACAATGAAATAATTATACATACAGCCAGGAAATTCTGAAAAACAGTGTGCTGAGTGAAGACAGCACAATAAAATCTGTAGGTAAGGCAGCAGCAATATACAGTGCATAAATTAGAGCTATGTTTGCCTCAGGCTAGGAGAGTTAGGGGGCATTAATTGGGAAGAATATGAGTCAATTCTGGAGTGATAGGAATAGTCTCAATTTTAGCTGGTGAAGTAGTTAGAAAAGTATATTCATTTGCCAAAGCACATCACAGTATTCACTAAATACCACTGCATTTTATGAAAATTATATTTGTCACTGAAAAATAGCCCAGAAAGACATAATTTAAAGTAATGATTTTTTGGTATCTTTTCTTCCTCCTTAGGTCTTGCTCTCAGGAGATGAATGCTCTTAACTCTTTAAATTTTCCTAACTACCTCCACATTTCCAAGTCAGATGGTCTTACTAATATTTGCTAAGTTATTAATTTGTGTTGAGAGAGATGTTATGATTTGTTACCCTATCTTGATCAATGAGAATACAATGAACAGAGCTCAGCATTTTATTTGCCCATTTTGTTCTCCACATGTATCGTGACCACCTGATAGCTTTCCTTCTAAATCCCTTTTGTCCCCAAGTCAAGTCTGAATGATCTGCACTCAACCACAGAGGACTTGTTTTACCACCTTTCTGTGTTATATACCCTGCGTGGATTCCATCTTTCCTTTTCCTATAGTGCATCATCTGTTTTTTTCTTTTTGAGGACTAACTTACTGTCTCTGAATTTGAGTCTAAAACAGTTGAAATACTTTCCATTTGTTTTCCTACTTAGTATTAAGAATTCTTGGTTAAAAAACATATCTTGTAAAAATTATTACACTTTTTCTTGGCTTCACTTTGTGAATTTGCAATTGTTATAACCTTTCATGTCACCCCTCTTGTCACATTTTAAGTTGCTTTTGAAAGTAAATTGATTATCTTCTGATTCATTGTTTTCTTTCTTTTTTGAAATTTCATACCATGAGGACTTATGAGGAAATTATTTCTTTGTTTATTTAACTATATAAATAAATTCATTAAACAATAACATAACTCTTATCAATCCAATTGTTTGAATATTTAAAATGAAATATTAATTCAATTTTTTATCATTTTCACTAGTTATACAGTGGCTTAAATATTTTAAAAATTGCAGATATTAAACAAGTTTACCCCCTTCATTATATTCTCATTACTTGCTCCCTCCTTACTCTTTTCTCAAGCAGTGCTTGTGGGTTTCATTATGAAAAGTATGCGCTACACATGTGTGGAGTTATCACATTGAAATCCTCTCATTAATGTATGCTAATTAAAACAAAAGGTAAACTTTGATAGCTAGTGTTGATGTGAACAAAGGAAGCCAATGGTGCAATATCCATTCAATGTCCAATGATGCAATATCCTTTGAAAATAATCTGCCAGTTCCTCAAAAAATTGAACACAGAGTTGTGATATGTTCTGACAATTCAACTCTGAGACTTTATATGGAAGAAAAAGGAAAACATATCCACACACAAAAATTTACAGATATTTATTTGCTTTCTTGCATTTCCTATTTATTTTTCATCTTCCAATCTCAGTCTCTCTTTCTGAAATGTTATTAGTTATTGCATATTTGCTTCTTTCTTCCCTCCCTCCCTGCCTCCCTCCCTCTTTCCTTTCCTTCCTTTCTTCTTTCCTTTTGTTCTTTATTATTATTTGCAGGACTGGAAATCAAACCCAGAACATTGTGCATGCTGTCAAGTGCTCTATCACTGAGATATACCACCTGTCTGGTCATTCCATATTTTATTATCTACCCCTAGTTTGAATGTTTGTTGTAGCACTATTTTCCTTTTGTTCAGCTATTATCTTTCAACCCTCTTGGTTTTTAATTGTCTATCTTCTTTCCCCAAGAGGTCTGTATGGTTAATTTTTAAAAGGGTCTGTCCTTCATCAAGGGATGCAATGACATATGTTAAAGAAATTTGAACTGTGCTGATTGTGTTCTGAAGGTTTATGTTGCCTCCTACACTTTTATTTGATATGGATCAATCTTTTAATTTTATTTTCTGCTTTCCATGTTGGAAATTCAAGTGAAATGTCTTTCAACCCCTGGTTTCCTAGAACCCCTAGGAGGCTATAGTGAAAAGCTGAGCTGACTGAAACTTGAAGAAGAAGACACTTGGCTGCAGATTACAAAGGTGTCAGGTGCCTGCTTTGTTTAGAGCAACTCCCATCTCCCCCACCTCTCCATCACCACCACAAATGTTACTTTATACAACTGAAATATCCAGAGAGGAGTTTCAGCCTCTTTTTTATTCTTCTAGGGATTATAAACCTATATACTGCTGTTTGCGGGGGGCAAAGTCTTAATATCTCTCATCAGTAGTGGAATGTACTTACTCCTGCTGTAATTTGGCTTCCTTCTTTGGAGTTGCTCTCTATCCTCTCACACCCCTGGATCACTTCCCTGTTCATTCCAATTCCCTAAAGAATTTAAGTTTTTTTTCTTTAAAGGTTGCAAGTGGGCACTAAGGCTTCTGAATGTATTTTGACTATATCCTTGTTCTCTCCACATAACTTAATGTTTGTACTATGTAGTATTTTACTGCTCCAAATAGATTTTCTTAAGGTTTTTGAGGAGTTAATAATCTAGCTTCCCAACTGCAGACTTCTCCATTGTCTTCTCCTTATCTTTGCCTGATCAACTAATCCTACATCAATTCCTTCTATTTCTGGAAGTTAACCATTTAGTCATCTTCTCTCACCTGCTAATCTTCATCTTCTTTGTATTCTTTCTGTGTTTCCCTTCCCTTTCCTCTTCCTCCCCTATGTTTTTTGCACCTATTGTACCTTTAATGCCATAGTTGCATTTCTCACTTTGATGATAGTCACAGGTCAGTCTCTCAGACCTAGGAGAACAGAGGTTGCTGTGAAGGGATGGGAACCAGTGATGCTGCTCCCACCTGTGTCCAAGGGCTGGTGCTCACCAGATCCGGCATCTATATTCATGTGGCTGGGAAGCCCACATTTTCTTTGTTTCCTTCCTTCTTAACTTTAAAAGTATAGAATTCTTTAAAAAACAAATTTTTTTACCTTTACATCTAGCTTTCCAATTAAAAAAAACTAATAATCAAAGAGCCAAAAACTGACATGGCTTGAAACCTAAGAGGTGTTATGACTTCAAACCTACCACTGTATGGAAGTGTTTTTAATGCAATGACTGTGTACTCTGGGTTGAACACCTTCAAAAGAGACAAAAGATGAGGCTATAGTTTAACTTGAGTAAGAGTTGAAAATCAAATAATTGTACATATATTGGAGATATCATTAAAAGTTTTCTATGTAACTCCATTCTAGCTGGAGATAAAAATACCTCTACAATGTCTTAGACAAGAACAGTTAGAACTTGCAAACACATGGCCTGTGTGATCTTGGCTGGGCAGGATCCCAGGCCCTAAAGGAAATGAATCATGAAGATTATCTAAGAAAAGGTGCTAACCTCCAGTTGCATCTCATATATCAGGATAATTTAAAATCTGAAATTACACAGATTAGAGGGAGTCATGAATGTTACCTAGCTGAAATTACAGAAAAATAATTATAGTGAATATATTCATCCAATGAAAATATTAGAAAATAAAACTAGATGTCTTTCAAATATATATAATATATATATTAACTTAGATGCAGGGAGTGGTATAAGATATGAGTGAAGCAATCAAATGAGGAAGGTCAAAATATAATTTATTATATGAAAAGACTTAAATTCACTGACAATTATAATTTTTATAGAATGGTATAACTTTACAAGTCTAACTAATTGGTATAAGTATTCTTCAAACTGGAAGAATTTAAAATGTGAGAAAAATGAAGATTTTGATGAGACATAGAGTCTTGATGAAACTAAAATGAGTATAATCAAATTTATGCTTTGAAAATTATTCTTTTCATTATTCACTATTTGCCTTCAGAAATCTCTTGCAGAGCTACACTAACACACACATAACAGGATGTTTGGTATAGCACTCATTAAAATGACAAGATAAAAACATTTTGAAAAACTAGCCATACATTCAAGAACTTGAATCTCTATAGTACAAATATCAGCCTTATTAATTTTGATCTATTTCTCTTGGCATAAATATTTTCTGAAAAAGTAATATTCTGGCTGAGTGTGGTAGGTCACAACTGTAGTCCTAGCTACTTGGGATGCTGAGATCAAAAGGATCAGTATTCAAAGCAAGTTTGTTGTCATGCACCTGTCATCCCAGCTATGGCATGAAGCTTAAGTAGGAGGGTCATGGTCTATACTGGCCTGGGCAAAATGTGAGACCCCATCCGGAAAATAACCAAAGCAAAAATGTTTGGAGGTGTGGCAAGTAGTAGAGCAGCTAACTAGCAAGCATGAAACTTTAAGTTCAAATTCCACTATTGCCCACCTCAAAAGTAACTTGAATAATTAGTGATACATTTGTTATATCTTATAAAAATTAGCCTTGTTAATCATGATTTACTTTCCTTGACATGTATATTACCTGCAATAATAATGTTTACTGAAAAAGATAGAGACCTTATCTCAATAAATTCATAAAAATGTAAAATAACAGGTTTTAAGATTTAGTAAATACCCATGACTATCAAAATAATCTTATGAAATGAACTGAAACCAGCATATTCCTCAGAAAGAAGGAAGTGACATCATTGATCTGAGGACAAAATAACTTTATCTATAGTTTTCATTGATATGAAAAATTACAAAATGAAAAAATAGAGTGTGTATTCACTAAATAGTTGGAGCATTACTTTTTAAAATTGCACACAGCATTCCTTGTGTATATTCAAAACTACTATTGGTAAAAATCTCCAACAGAACCAGAATTATTCACTAATTGTTATCTCTGTTTGTATAGTTATATGTTGTATAGCCATTTTTGTTTGTATACCTTTTAGTCATGTCATACAAGCTTAAAATATTATTTGAAATATTTCTTCTATATTAATAGCATTTTTATTGATTTTGCATAGAAAATTCCAAAACAAATGAGAAAATTTCTATTATTAATTACTGTTAGATTTAGATTATGTAAAAATTACTCAAAAGTGTTACAAAAATACTTAAGAATAGGGGGAGGAATCAACATATTATATCAACAACAAAAAAACCAAAGGCTTTTTTCTATCTAATATTCATATGTGATACAAATGCTTGATTCATAGCACAGGGTACCGGCTTAACATGTCTGAATTTCCTAGAATCTTCCTGTTATATTTCTTCACACAACTGGATTGGGTTTGGAAATAGTTACTATCATGTTTCCCATGAAACCAAAACCTGGGAGGAAAGCAGAAACTTGTGCATGGAGCTGAATTCCCATCTTGTGAAGATAGAAACTGAAGAAGAGCTGGTAGGACAGATACTCCTTTTCTGTGACATTAGAATTTCACATGGTTTGGAAGCATTAGTGACGAACACTATTTCTCAAGTTATTCTCGGGGTGCATGATATTTTCTTATTACGATTTAGTTTTTGTAGGTAAAAATTTGAGAAATTACATCGTTAGAATATTTAATTTTTTAAAGAAATATATTAAATATATAAAAACAGATAATATCTTGATGTGGGCCTATTAAAACTTGTAGGGCATGTGTAAGCTCTTAGCAGACTTTTGACACTAATCCTTCAGTCAGAAAGGAGTAGATCATAGTTACAGATTTTGATTTTGTTCACAATAGGAAATCTTATCAATGTTTGAAATGCTAGGATGGATATTTATCAAATGGAACAAAACTGATGGATCCTGGTTATGGGAAGATAGTACCCAAGTGCAGAAAAGCCTGTAAGTACACTGTTGGATAAACTGGACTTTTTTGAGAGTAGAGGTATTTTGTGTGTGTTTTATCTGTGTACAAGAAAGGACATCCAAGAAAAAAAAACTATGATATATGATTACCAGGATATGTGAAGTAATTAGGAAATTTTTCTAGTGCTTTGAATGTAATCTCACCACTTGAACCTGTACATTTATAATTCACAAGTCTCCTAAAAGAAATTTGTACATACTTTTGTATCTTATGTGAGTTTATAATTTTAAAAACATCTGGCATTTTTTTTACTATAAGATTCAAAATTCTACTTATACAAACACGGTAAAATTACACAGTGCCAAATATTTTCTGTCAATCTTACAGACTTGTATTGAAGAATACCAGTCTACATAACTTTCATCTTCATTGGTTTGTTTTGTTTGCTGTTTTATTCTTGTTGACTTATTTGTTTTTCCTAATTGTAAGGTTTAGATAAAATAGTATTTGTATGTATTACACTGTAATATTTGGTTATTATTGGTGCTTTTCCACAGACAAAAATATTCCAAGAAGAACCATGGTTGTCTTTTTGTGGATGGAATTTATATTTATCCTGCAAACTGTTCATCAAGGAAATATTTTATCTGTGAGCTTCAAATATAGCAACATCTGTTTTACTAACATGTTATTGTTATTAAATCCTAGTAAAATATTTATAAAATATGTCAGTTATTTGTTGATTTTTAATTTTTAAATAAGTTATCACTAAGTGTTTTTATTGTGGTCAGAAGATTATACTTTTTATACTTTTTACATTATACATTGTACTGTGATGGAGTCAAATTTTCTGTCCACAGATTACTTCAGGCTAACATTCTTCCCTCTTACAATTTAAAATCAATATAAATTTATGAAAAAAAATTAGCAAAAAATCAGGCCACCCCTAAACAATTTTGCAAATTCCAAGGAATATGAGAAGAAAAAAATATCTGTGTAAAGTAGGGTTTTGCTTGCTTGTTTTTTTTTTTGTTGTTAAAGACAAGGTTTCTCAGGCTAAATCTGAATTCCTGGGTTCAAACTATTATCATACTACAGCACCTGTTAATTGCTAGGATTACACTCACACACCTCTGCATTAAACTTCCAATAGGGTTTTAACATGAGATGGACTCCTTTTGAGATTGGTCATGAGATACAATAGAGTTACTACATGGAGCAGTGAAGACAAGTTCATTGGAGAACAAGAAATAACAAATATAATTAAGAAACTCTGCGTCTAGCCAGTATGGTAACCCCTTATGATTGCCAGAGAGCAGCTACCACACACACTTCCAATAATTTAAAAGCAAATGAGGCAATAATGAATAAATACATGTGGAATTTTTGCAGAAAATTAAAGTCATGAAAGAAGACAAGAAAAGAAAATTACAGAATTATATGTCCAATAGCATAAATGAAAAATTTCTAGCATTTCACCTCTTTGAAAAGATAGTAGCTAACACTTTTCCAAAGGTAGTTTTATAAATAAAAACTACATAAAAGAAGACTGGTATGTCTACAGAAGACTTCAAGTAGAGGAAAAGTGCAACTAGGAATACCACAGCAAAAATACTGAAAATTTTAAATGAAAATACATATTGAATGCAGCCATATAAAAACTATCATACTCACAGGAAGGACATAGGTGATTATTGACTTTTATCAGAAATGATGCAGATAGAAAGGCATTGGAACAATTTAAAGGTAGAAATAGAAATAAAATTTTAAAGACCTATCAAGTCTTCTTATTTCTTCTCAAATATGTAAGGTACTTGCAAGTTGTCACTACCATCCCTACAAGAAGTACAACCTAAACAAAGTAGAAATGAGCAACTCTCCTAAGACCCTCTCCATGGAACTGAGTTCACAAAGACAACCAAAAATGGAGAGTGATGTTGACACACACAAGAATCACGTCCTTCTGGGGCAGGGGCCTAGGAGACCCTGTCACTGCTCATAAACACTAAATACTTGTGTTCACTCCACAAATATGTGTTGAAATGCTAAACCAATATGATTGTTTTAGGATAGAGGGTCTTTGGAGTTAACACAAAGAGGGTGATCTATGAATGAAATTAGTGCCCTTTTTAGGAGAGCTCACAGAAAACTCTGTAACCCATTTCTGCTGTACAAGGAAACAAAGAAAGGTCAACCAATGTGCAACCCAGAAAAGACTCCAGAAACTGACACCATGATCTCAGAGCTATAGTATTAAGAACTGTGAAAATTATATTTTAAGAAACTGCACAGTCAATGATATTTTCATGCTAGGCTAATTAAGACCCTGAGTAGCAAACCAATGTGTAATTGATATATTGATGCACACTCAAAATGGTCAAGTATGAGAGTGAACACTTTTGGGTGGGGACATAGTCTTAATGTCTGTCCACACTTTTATAGGTTTTACCTTCAAGAGTCTTACTTATTCTTAAAGCGGCAGTTGGTTCTTCTGGCATGGGAGTGAAAATATACAGCCAAGTAAAATGATAGTAGTTTGAAAATATGTTAAACTAAAAAGAACACAAAGAGGAAGAAAGTACAAAGACAGTAAGGGAAAAGAGTTATAAATATTGTGTATTTTAACCCAACTGCATCAGTAACTGTCAGGCATATAATGAACCAATGAAACACACAGGTTTTCTGAGAGGATGAAAAAATAAGACACAATTTGATATGTATAAGAAACCCACTTCATATACAAGAGTACATACAGTTTAAGAATATAGGTATGGAAATTTATATGGCATGCTAATTCTTTACAAAATAAAAGTAAAATTTCTGTGTAAAATATAGACAGAGGAGACTTCAGAGCAAGAAAATTCCTAGGATAATGAGGAGCTGCACATAATAAGAAAAGTGTCAATTCTCCAAGAAGACATAACAAAGCTTGGTAGATGTGTGCCTAACAAAGTATAAATGTATAAAGCAAATAGTGATAAAAATTCAAGGAGAAATTAGTCAATCCACTATTTTATACTTGAAGGGTTCCACTCCTTTCAATCAGTATCTGACAAATCCAGTGGACTGAAAATCAGAACCTTTCTGTCTGAACTGAACTGAAAAGGACCATCAATCAGTTCATATAATAGACAACTTCAAACTTCTTCTAACAATTGAATACACATTATTTTCAATCTCATACAAAATATTCATCCAAAAATACCACATTATAAAAGGTAAGTCATTTTAACAGATTTTAAAGAGAAGAAATCATAGAAATTTTTTCTCACTTCAATGGATATAATTAATAAACCAATTATTATTTGGGAATTATTATTTGAGGTTTAAATGACACACTTCTAAATAACACATAGATCCTGGAATCTACATATAAAGTAAAATGGTTTGAAGTAAATGAAAATTAAAGTATAGTTTATCTAAATCTGTGAGCAGTTAAGGTCTCTCACAGGTTGAGGTCTTAGCCTTCTTTAGACTCTATTGACCTGGTTAATGGGAATTTTGCACTATTCCTTCTCCTCTTCCGGTGTCAAGTAAATGAAATTACCTTTATATTTGTGACAGCTCTTATACCTCTCTATCTGGTGTAACTCTAGTCATCTTCAGAGGTCTGAAGCTTTATTATTCACCAGACTCTGATAAAGGATAAAGAGCAGTGATAGTGCAAAAATTCCTAGACTATAAATTAATGTCAAAAACTGGTTCAAAATAAATGAGTTTCTTGGGGAGCCTAAATTTATAGCCATGCAACTCTCAAGTACAGATTTTTCTAACACTTGAGTGGTGGAAGAGGAACTGTTTAAACTTAACTGAGAAGCAAAAAGAGGCCACATAAATCTCAATTCCTAGTGACAATTTGCTTAAATAAAAAACAAAATTATAAAATATTCAGAAAATCTCTCACATTAATACTGAGAAATAATTTTTACATATTATTGTGTCCTTTAAACAATTGGTTTTGGTAGTATTGGTGCTTCAATTCAGGGCCTTGCACTTTTCAAATCATAAATTAGTATAAAAGCATGAGATTTTTACCTCTAAAAATTGATAGATGGATCTTGGTAAATTTGATTTATGATGTACATGTGACATTTAACTTTAAGTTAGTTACATTTAAATACATTTTAAGGTTCAGTTCTTCAGTCAAAAGAGGCACATTTCAAGTGTACCACAGGCAGATGTATCTAGTGGCTATCATCTTGGATAACAAACACAATTATTTCTCTCATCCCAGCCATCATTTTAAGAATTGCCTTGCTTCTACCTGGCCATCTGGAAAAGTGTTTCCCCCTGTTCTGCCAACTGGGCATTCAAGGGCCACTGTAGCTGTGGTCCAGAGGGCTAAACTATTGCTTTAAGCTAACAGTACACATTCACATAATTTCCATAATGCTAGGTTTTCAGGCATTTATAATTCAAGAATTGGTCTTGGAGAGTATCTCAAGTAGTAGAGTGCTTGTCTTGCATTCATAAGGCCCTGGGTTCAACCCCCAATAACACAAACACACACTCACAAGCATACCCACAAACACAAACCACATAGCAAGAGTTGTGGGGTAATGGAAGCTTCCACCCAGATTTCACAGGAAGACAAGAGGTCAAGCAATGGGTGGCATAGTGCAGACCTTTGCATGGAACTGTTAGGGTAACAATTGATGGCAAACTAAGAACCCAGGAAATTAGAGATGGCAGGAATGTGGAATATCTGCCAACAAGCTGTACCAGCCCACGAAGAAAACCATGTCAGGTGAAAATGGCAAGACCATTCCAAAAGATCTGTCAGGACCATTGGAGCTCACACCGTGATACCATGTGCCATGGATGCCAGACATGGGTCTACAGTGTGTAATGTTTGCCTCACTTGGTTGTAGTCCTACTTTGGGCCTATCCCTCCTTTCTATGCCCCACTCCTTCCACAGTTTACTCTGTGCAATTTTATCTTGTAAGTATCTTCTTTTTATGTATTAGGAATTCTCAGCAAAGAGTTTATTTTGAGGCTCAGAGGAGATTTTTGAACAATGTTGGAGGGTTTAGAATTTGGGGCTCCTTGTAGTTATACTGAGTGTACTTTAAATTATGAAATAGATATGAGTATTTTGATGGCCAGGGTGGAATGTTATACATGCTTGCATTTGATAAAAGTCCCTCTGCTCTTATTGTACAATTCTGTTAACACATTTTTGGATTCAGCTTACTAACATTGTTAGCATAATTATTATTGTTATTACTTAATAAATAATATTTTATAGCACTAATAATAATATTAATTCAACTACCATTGCTGAAATTTTTGCATCTTCGTTCATGTGAGGTACTGTAGATACTTACCTTTTTTCTATCGACTTTACTTGATTTTGGTATTTGAATAACTCCATGATCAGCAAATGATTTAAGAAAGATTCTTTCTGTCTCTATTTTCTAGAAGATATTGTAAAGAATCCATATCATTTCTTCTCAAATATTTGGTAGGATTTCCCACTGAAGCCCTGCTATTTCTGTTTTGGAAGACTTGGATTATTAAATTTAATTAATAAGCATAGAGATCTTCTTAGATTTCTATTCTTTGTGATTTGGGGTACTTTGTGTCTTTCAAGAAATTTGTCCATTTCATCTGCATTTTTGTCAAATTTGTGAGCATAGAATTGCTCATTGTATTTCTATATTATCCTTTATTATCTATGTGATATGATCTTTTCTTTCAT